CTTTAATTATTACATTTTGGTCTTGAAAGTATGAAGGTATTACTGTTTCTGTAGTTGTAGTTGTTTGAAATACTGTTGTTGGTTGTGCTATTTGGGTTATTGTTATGTTTAAAGTCTGAGTTATTGTAGAACTGATATTGTTACAAGTGAGAACTGTTGACTCATTTATCTTCTTCCTGTAAAGATAGTACTTTCTTGTTGGAGTGCTTGTTGATATTGTTGTAGTCTGAGTTTTTGGTCTGGTGGTAGGTTATTAATTTGTTCTTGTGTTAGGTTCTTAGTTCGTGTTGTCTTTGTTGGAAGTCTGGTATTCTATTGTTTCTTCTTAAGTTCTTTTGTTTCCTTTAGTTACAGCTTTTATATATACAGATTATAATAAGTACTATTATTGCGATACTTATAACAGTAAATATGATAATTGTAGCAGTTTCTGGTGAAATTGGTATAATTGGTTGTTCTTGAGTTTGGTTTGTTCGATTCATTTAGCAGCAGCCTGAATCGTTGTATTGGGCTTTGTATGATACGTTCAGATATCTTTTGTATAATCTCTTTTTATATTTTTGTATTGATATGCAGCAGATAGTAATTGTCAATAGATAAATAAATACTACTATAATTAGTGCTTGTAACAATAAGTATGCTAAATGGTTCTTTGTGATATCTTTTGGCATGATAAGATTATTATTGTTGGCATCTTTTATTTGTATCTTGGTAGTTGGTTTTGTAATTGTGCCAATTGTTTAGCTAACTGTTCTATGTTGATATTGTCTAGATCAATTGGTGATGTAAATGGTGCTTGACTTGTTTCTATTGGTACTTGTGTTTGTAGATTGCGTTTGTAGGCTAATTTTCTTTTTCTGGCTCTTTTAATACAAATTCTTAATATTATGGCTATTATTGATAATATGGCTGTGATTGTAGATAGAATTTCTATTGCTAATGTATTGTTTATATTGTTGTTTGAAGCTTCTGTAAATGTAGCTATTATTGTGATTTTGGTGTTAGTTGGCTTTGTGCTTGGATTTTCTTGGGTGTTTGGTATTGTAGAAGTTTGGTGTTGCAGATGTTGTTTGCGGTATTGGTACTGATATTACTATATCAGCTTTTACTATAGTTTAATTTTTCTGTTGATACTAATATTGTTCTGAGGCTAAAATTACTAATATTATGAGTAATATTATTTGGTGTATTAAGGCTGTTTTGGTGTTAATCATTGAGATTTTATATTGGCGAAGTTGGATGCCTTTCTCTTTGCAGTTACTTATTTGTATTATTAGAATTTTGGCATTGAAATATTTCGAATTCTGTTATTGTTGTGAATGATTGTGGGTATTAAATAGTTATTGATTGGTTATTTTACGGTTCTTTGTTTGGGCACTTATTTCTTCTAAATAATAAATTATAGAATGTAGTTGTAAAATTTGTAGGTTCAAGTATTAGTGTATATGGTTCGCAGGTGTCAGTGTTAGGTGAATTTCTCTGTTCAATAATAGTGGCTATTAAGTTCAATTTGATGGTGCCTTTATTCTTTGTAATTCTTTGCTTTTAATTCTTATATTTATCAAATATTTAGTTAATACATCTGTTTCAATATAGTTCCTTCTTTGAGGTAGCTATTCTCAAAGTTGATACTCAATAGTGCGTGCTATTTCACTTTTGATGTTCATTGAAACTTTAGTCCAGAAAGTTATATAGTTAAATATACTTTATTAACAAGTTTTTCGATAAGAATATGTTTGTATTTAATAAACTTTGATTTTATTTATAATATTTAATATACGATAGATAATACAGTTGAATAATAATAATATGTAATAATAAATAAGAATATACACTATATAGTTTAATATCATTTAAGATATTGAGTACGTTGGTGCTAAACTAATATTCAAGGTTCTATATGATAATAATTTTGTGGTATAATTTCGATTTTAATATAGTAATATGATTAACAATTTATAAGGGCAATAAAATACTGAAATACAGGTTAAATTTAAAAGATATAAATACACAAGAATAATTATATGTAAAAAGGTCAGGTTTAAATAATTATTTTCAATTAATAAAATACATCATGTTAATGTTGATTTTCTATCTATTTTGATCATGTTAATATATTTATTGCTTACATGTTATTGTTTTAATTGTTTTCAAGAATTACACCAATTTCTGTACTAGCCAGATTGGTATTACAGTTCGATTTTTGAATTTCTGATGTTTGGTTGTCTTCATGGTTCAATTTGTACAGATTTGGAGATGGCTAAAGCCAGGTACATCACGAGATTACCTGATTTTTCTGATTTTTCTGATTTTTAATTAGGGTTAGGGTTAGGTTAGGGTTGGGTTAGGGTTAGGTTAGGAGGTGGTTTTTATATAGTAAAATTGTATTTTTGCACTTTTACTTAGTCAAACAAGATGGTTTGAATAGCCATTTTTTATATATTTCATGTTTTTGACTTTGCCATCTTGCTTTGTTTTGTTCGGACTGATCTGGGTTATATATCGGGTAATTTCGTGATATACCTGGCCCCATATTTGTATGCTGAAAAAATTTTAATTAAAAAATACACATATTAATTGCGTAACAGATCAGCACTATATATACAAAAAATATTATTAATCATAATTATCTCGGAGTTTTATTTAATGCTTTGCAAAATAGGTAATATGAATAACCGCGGCAAAGATGACATAAATTAAAACAAAATTATTTTAATTATTTTCTTATTTGAACAAGTTCATTTATGAAAAAATAGATTAAAAGAATATATAAAAATCTAGCTTTCAGAATTGACTAAAAATTACAATTACAAAATGTCAAGTAAAAAGCTCTTAGTGTTATTGCTAAGAATTGCATATTTTCTTTTGCTGAAAATTTTTTATACAATTTTCTGACTTTAATTTTTTTGACTTCTTTAATTATTGCTATTTTGATTTTTGCATCTTCGATATTAATTTTGAATATGATTCCGATTCCATCTTTCTTGTTGTTCTCTGGTCTCATTGTCGGGTTTTCTGTATTATTTACAAGTACTATCTACAAATCCGAATCTATTTGCTCAGATAATACGATACATTCATCAGAACAAAAATTAATTCAACCTATCTTCATTGAGAATATCTTCAAATTTTATTTATCTAGAAACAAAGTCTTTTTTAATTTTGAATTTTTGCCTCTTTCTTATTTCAATACTACAATTTCCTTTTTTTTATTTAAAATAAAAAATTTTTTAACTAATTTAAATCTAAAAATCGTGAAAAAAACTTTTTACTTTGCAATATTCTTAATGCTTTATTATTTTACGCATAGTGAGGATGTTGATAAATCATTAGTTAAAGATCAACTAAATGAAGATATAGATGAACTTCAGATAGAATCCTTAAGCGATCTTAAGGATGACATAAAAAGATTAAGTCTTTTGATAGAACACTTTCATGATTTCACAATTAAGGATAAACAAAAAAAATTTTTAGTTGAATCATTTAATTGCTATTTGGAAAAAGACCAAATAAATGCTAAAAACTTGGATATAGATAGTCTAAATATATACAAATTTTTAAACCAGATTACCGAGCAACATAGTCTACTATGTAATAATAATCTGGAGATAAATGATTTATAACGAAAAAATTTAGCAAATCTATTCAATCATCTTCAGCACTTCATTAAAGAATTGCAGAATAAAAATAATTATAATGCTCAACTAAATAAAATTAGAATACAAGCAGTTGACCTTGGATTATTTTATATTCATCAAAGGGATAAAATAATTGGCGATGAAATCTTTAGAAAAGCTATTAAGAAGAAAGAGGATTAGCATAAAGTAAACAAACATTGGTTAATAATTTTTGCATTTTTTATAAAAAAAACATCAATGGACAAAGGTTAAAAATAGTTTGGGGTATTATTTTCATTTTCAAAAAAAAAAAAAAATTATTCATCACCAAAACTCGAACACTGAAATATTTATTTATATGTCACAAAATCAAATTGACTAAATACTTTGTCTTAATTCTGTAGCTTGAGAGACATGTACTTATTTTCTACTACAATATGTTCTATTTCATTGAACATCAGAAATATTTGTAATCTGTGAAAACTATTATTTAGATTAAGGTTATATTTTTTCTTTGGATTTTGCTGTTTATTTTTTGCGATAGCGATAAAATATTCTTGATCTAGTGTACATTAATAATATAGGTTTCCAAGAGGAAGTTTTCATAACTAATCGCAAATTTAGGCAGATTTAGTTTCTTACTAACACCATTAACAAGATTTTTTGACAGAGTATCTAATTGTTTATACTTGTCAAAAAACCATGTTAAAGCCTTGTTAAAGTGCTAGTAAGAAACTAAATCTGTCTAAATTTGCAATTTGCTATGAAAATTTCTTCTTGGTGAATTATATTATTAACAATATACACTAGATTGAGAATATTTTATCACTATTGCAAAAATGATTTTAGCAAAGTAACTTTTTTAAAATGAACTTTATAGCAACAATCTAAATATTTACAAGTCTGGTTAGATAACAAGGCTCAACCACTATTTCACTTTAGAATTCTTTAGTATGAGATGACTAGAGCTAATAGTATTTGATAAGTTCATGAGATTTTTTTATTAGTCAGAATTGTTGGTGAAATTTTCATAGCAATTCTCTCATGAGTTATTCAACATTGAACACTAGTTTTAAACTATTATTTAGTCAATTCTTATTTATTTATTAATCATTCGTCTTTTAAATATTAATATTTATAAATAAAATTACAATCTCTATTTTCTTGTATCCAATGACGACCTGTTTTTTGAAATTAAAATTTATTAATAAAATACTTGTGTTATCATTATCAACTAACAAAGAACATGGCCGGAATAGTCAACAGTTACATAGTCAATACTAAAGTGGATCCTATTTACCAACTTCCTAGATGCACGCTTTCTAGTATTTTAATACAGAAAGGTCCTCTCTAACGCAGACAGGGCCAGTACTACAGGAATATCGATAACTGATAGAGGAGAACGTTCAACCAAATGGTTGGCCCGATGTGCTTTCAATTCACTATCAGATTTAATTGCACTGATGTGGCAGTGTAACTTTGGATATACTAATAACTCAACAAGTAATTAATAAGAAAACTCATCCTGTATAGTTATTCTGATTTGTAAACGTTCTTGAATATCATAAATAGGATTAAATTTGAAAATGTTCTTGAATTTTGATTTACTTGTAAATATCATTCTATTATAAAAATTATAAAAACAAATATATTAACATTAAATATACTAACAGTATTAAGTCACATAATAACAAAAATGAAGTAATCTCAATTGTTCTTATATTTCACGAAGACAATGGTACAAAATTTTTATTAAAAAAAAAATTATATTTTTAATTCACAACTTCATATATTATACAAAAAAAATAAATTTGATATACGTACTTTATTATTATTATTTATGTTGTATCACAAAGAACAAAGCACCTCTGTGCGATAATGTACTTTGATTCATATAAACAAAAAGATTGTTCACAAGAATAAGTTATACAAAAATGAAAATTGAACATAAAAAGCTATGGTGGCCACTGCTAAGCCAGCTTAGCTGGCTGAGCCAGCCAATTAATATGATTGGCTAGCTAATGCGGCTAGTGCTCCTAGATCTGGTTTGGGTTCAGTTCGGGATCGAACTAGACTCGAACTCTAGATTTTGCCAATTATTATTATAATTTTGTAATTGTTCTTTTATAATAGTTTGATAATTGGTTTCCTGTTTGTAATTATAAATTTGATTTAAATTTGACTGAATGGGCAGGAATAGAAGAACGTAAATTTATATCTTTTATACCTTTCAAAGTCGTATATACGGAGTGTGATTTCTAATTAATCGAAATTCTATACACGAAAGTCTGCAATTCAAATAATATTAATTTAGTAAAGACCCTTTTAACAAATTATTGTTTAAATATCTTATTCTATTTTGTGCCATTACTTGATTATACTAACCGGGTCAATCTTTCACTCATTTCTTTATTTTATATTCTTACTTAACTTAAAAGGGGTATAGACTTCTCGCATAACTTAAAACAAACCGCAATTTTCGAGTGGTTAATTTATTGAGTATCAATTAGATTTAATTTGAAATTAGAGCTTTATATGTCTATTAAGGGCAATTATGATCGATATCACATAGATCACAAATGAAAAAAATTCTTCGAACAAATCCAAATTCGAAAATATCATTTAGTATTCTATAATGCTCGGAAAAGGCTTTATTAATTATTAAAATGGAGTATATTAGAGGTAATTTGAATTTATTAATCTTGTAAGAAACAAAATAATCCAAAAGAATGTAATACTAAAAAGAATTAGTAAAAATATTATTACCACTCAGAATACTGACATTAATGAATATAAGAATTGAAGTTTCTTTATTCCCATGTTACTTCTTCTAATTAACCATTTGTATAAAAACCGAATATGCGTGAAAATCTTTGTTTCATGCTTATCAAAATGGTTAACCATTCGGACTAAAGACCATATAATATAGTATACAATTAAGATCAAAACGAATAATACAATCAAACAGAATAATGTACTCAACAAAGTCCAATCCCTATGCAACATAACTGTTTGTATAATTAAATATCTACTAATGGATCCGATCTCTACGCGTACTTAAGCTCAATTTTTCATTTAATCTTTGATTTAAATGCGGTACAAAATTTTTGTGTAATTATATAATGATTTTTGAAACAGGTTTTGAACAAAAAATTCTTACTCATTTCCAAGTGGTTTTCAATAATACTTCTATTTATGTGTCATTAAATATCTTATTCTATTTTGTGCCATTACTTAATACTAACTGATCCAATTCTTCACTCATTTCTTTGTTTTATATTCTTACTTAACTTAAAAGCGGCATAGACTTTTCACATAACTTAATTTTGAACAAAGTATTCTTGCAATTTTTGAGTGATTAATTTATCAAGTACCAATTAGATTCAATTTGGAATTCTATACACGAAGATTTTGACGCTTTACATGTCACTATTAAGGCTAAATATTGTTTTTTGGCCAAATGCTATTTTTATAGTTTATTTTAAAATATTTGGAAAGGAAGATAGAAAGTACTATATTTTATAGTTTAACTATAAAAACTTTCAAAGAATTCCAATTTAGATTTCATCTTACCGTCAAAAGTCTATCTATTAATTTAAAAATAGTTTCTTTTGATTAATATATCCGAAGTAATCATATTTAATCTTAGAAATTTTAAATTCCAAATTAAATCTTTATTGAGAAGGTAATAAATTAACCACTCAGAAAGCACAAAAACTTTTTGTTCAAAATTGTTTTTGTTTCAAGAATTTAATTACATATTAAACAAAGAAATGGAGCTAAATTACAAGTAGATTATACTTTTATATTTCTAATTCTGTCGGATCTTGCTGAATATCATACGTGTTACTTCACATAAAACTTTTGAGAAATTCCAATTTGGATTTTGTTTTATGCATCATTATTTTAATTCTAAAAATGGTATAATATTTTATTTCATTTGGACAAAAGACCATATAGTTTACTTAAAATTAACTATATATTAATGACAGAAGGTTTGCTTGCCTAATATTTAAACACTTTTAACTGCTCTACCAATGCTTCTAATAAAAAAAAAAAATCAAATAGATCAAAATCTTTTAGTTTTAGTTTATATTGATAAGAAATTCGAATTATCAGATTATACCTATGCATATAAACATTTTGTTAAAAAGCTTTGCTCGAATGTTAATAACATTGAAAAATTTAATATGCAACTGAGTAAGGACAATCACATCCAATATTCTTTGGATATCATGAACGAGAATCTTTTGAATCTTAAATACAGGCTGGCTTTAGAAATAAGCATGAATTACAACAACATCAACATCTTATTCATCCAGGTTAAAAATTACAAGCATTTATTCATGGGGTTAGGAGATGTTACCATCATCATCGATCCGATCAATGATTTATCATTTAGATACCAATCGGATAAGATTCAAGAATTTACAACAATTCTTTGAAGATATAATCCACAAAATATTCTCAACATTTGTAAAAAGGACAAAATTGTTACCATTTACAATAAAGAATCTTTAAATTTTTATCTCAAACAGCATTTTGATGTAAAGCGTATCAAGGCTCAAAAGAGGATGAATATTTAAAAAGAGAAGGTTAATATTAAGAAATATCAGTTTGAGTTAATACAGGAGGAAATCGACAATCTAATGTTTAAATATCTGGAAAAAGCTATAAAAAAGAGTGTCAAACCAAAAAAATTTTTTAATGATAAAACTGACAATTACGATGTAATTACAGAAACCATCAGGACATTTCTCAATGATGTATTCAAGAACACCTGTGAATATGAACAACAATGGTTCTTCAAGGTCATAAAAGCTAATCTGTGTGTTTACTTTCCAATTTCTTTGAATAAATAAGATATAAAGATGCATTCAATCATTCTACTAAATCTATGAATAGAAATAGCTCGAGATACAATCCATACATAATCAACGATTGAAAAAAATTGTTATTTTTTTTATTTACAAATGAATCTTCAGGTCTCCAAGTAACTCTGGCCAAATTTATGAATCATTTGTCCTGGCTTGAATTATTTGACTTCAAAAGCTGGCTAAATAATTTGCAAATTTAATCAGAGTTATGGCTGCGTGAGTTATTTTATCATTTTTATAGTTCTTGAGCAATGTCTGGGATCTAAAAAAGTATAATACAAAGAATTTTAATATTTGCGTAATTACATAATGATTTCTGGAACAAGTTTTAAGCAAATATTCTTGCTTATTTCTGAGTGGTTTTCGATATAAGTAATAATACTTTTACGCGTCATTCAATTGCTATTAGATATCAATTTCAAAATTATATAAATATAGGCTCTAATGTAGAAAAATCTAAAGTTTTTTCAAACAATATTATTACAATGATCCCTTTACCAAACAAATGTCTCACCAAAATATTTGAATATCTTGAGAATGAATATGGGTTTAGATTTTTTAAGCCAGATTATAAAAGCTTATTTTCATGTCTTCTTGTTAATCGTTAATAGTATAAAATTTGATAGTCTTTACTTTTTACTTGTTCTTCATTATCAAAATCTATCGATTGGATTTGTTCACGGAAATGTTGATATTTCTAAAAAATCGGTTGTAGCTCAAAATTTTGTTTATGAAACTAACTTTTCACTTCCTAACAAAAAAAATTTCTCTCAAAATTTTGGTTAAGAAACTTTTTACTAAAACCTACCCAACCTTAACTTAACCCTAACCCTTACCCTAATCTAAACTAATGAATTAATTATTGTTTTGATCTTACACCAGAACTTATGGGGAGCATCGCAATGCACATGCTCTAAAATATAAAAATCTATTTAAAAATTTGGTTTATAATATTTCAATATAATTACAACACTTTTAACATTATTAAATATAACAAAAAAGTTGCTAAAGAAGTCCAAAGTATAAAATCTATAATTGTATATGTGTATTCAAGAATTTCGCAATTTTGTAAAGTTAAAGATAAATGAAGTTAAATGTATACTTTAATTCACCAGTTAAGTTGAAAACCAATTTAAGAAAATAGGTTATTGGTTTTTTTTATTAAAGTGAATTAGAGTTACTATTGAGTTATGATAAAATATCACAACCTCTAGTCCTGACAGGAATGCAAAAAATTAAAATTGATCTAGTTCTGATAGCATTTTTGGAGCAATATGCATTAAACTTTATTTAAATAATTATTATTAATACAATTTGTCTATTACAATCAATATTTAATTAAACAAATATTAATTAATAAAGAAAGGTTTAATCAAGATACAATTTGATAGTGAAAATATGATATGTTATTATATGAATATGTGGACCCATGGGTAGAGACCAGAAATTATCAAAATACTTGTAGCATAGCATGAAAACTGTAGTTTTACAATAAACTACAGTTTATTTATATGTACTATAATTCACAGTTCACATCTCAACAACAAATTCAGAAATTAATTATTTGTCTAAAAGACCATATATGGATCTTAAATAACAACCTTTTTAGAGTATATAAAAATCATGTGATCTTCAGATACCTTTATAAAAACTTTTTGAAGTAAATATTTATTCCAATTTGGATTTTGTCAGTATTAATTGATAAAAATTATATAAATATAATATATTTATTTAACTAAAAAAACCCTTAACATTGGTTGAATATCATTATTAAAATAAATGCATGAATAATTTTCTTCTAGTCTAAAATTAAAATGGTTATTGTTATCCTCTATGTTATTAGCAAAGTAGTTACAAATGTCATCAAGGTATTTATAAGCAAGTTCTTCATCTTTTTGGACACTATTTCCTTTTAAAAGCATATTCACCATCCAATATCTGGCATCATATGAATATTCAGTTTTACTATTTCTTACTATGTCAAAAACTATTCATGAGAATTATCTTTTATCTAAACAAATACCTCCTCAGCATGGAGAAATAAATTCAAAATATAATGGATTTTTCAATCAGAATGTGGACAAATATAATTTCTAGTTAATGAGCAACAATCTAAATCTGTCAAATAAAATTTTGGAAAACTCTCAGAAAATCACTAGTATTTTTAATTGAACCTTTCATATTTTTTATAAACTATACTAACTAGGAAATTAATGACACAAAATTTAATTTATACCAATGAAATATAACAGGAAATTTAAATATAATTAATCCGGAATACCTTTATTATAATCCTTATCTTTCTCCAGTCCCCTATTTTTTACCCTATCCAAATAACTTACTTTAACAGTTATTTATGATTAACTATTTTTTAAAATTCATGCTGTAAATATGTACAAGAATTTACTTTAAAAAAATTGATAAATTACAGGATTGTACATAGAAAAATATAAGAAAAAATTTAAATAACATTTCTTGAATAGATTTCAAATTATTTTATTTCATATATATAATGTTAAATGTTAATGATATTAATGATTCAGCTAAACTAATATATACTCTAGGATTTGGAATTTGTAATAGAATTTGGAATTTGGGATGGGATTTGAGATTTGGTACAGAATTTGATTTGGATTTTGGATTTGAGATTTTTAAACATCATTACAATTTTTTGCTACTAAACAAAAGATAAATTATCAACCTCTTAATTTTTATAGTTGATCTATTTTTCATCCAATGATATTATGAACATTATGTGTATTGTGTTAATCAATACAAAAATAGATTGAAAAAATTCAATTCTCTATATTAGTTATTATTATATTAAGATTAACAACATCACCACAAAAAAGTAATTAGCAAAATAATATTTTTACCTTTTCTCCTTTTCCAATTCTTCGCTCAAATAGACACAAGTTTGAGTCAAATGATTGATTTCATTGAGAAAAAAAGACACTTTCCTTGACTAATTCTTAAGATGTAGTAAGTTTTGCAAACTATATGTTTTATTGTTAAATAATATACATTATACATACTCATTCAGTAATCAATACTCTGATTCATAATTTTTGAGCCTCATCATATTCACATTGAGACTATAGTTAGATGAATTGCAGTCTCAGGGACTAAAATCTCAAAAAGGGATTGGTTTGACATTTGTGGTGTACAATCATTTTTTAGCATTTATCGTATTTATTCCATTTAGTATATTTATTCCATTTAGTAAACAAATTCAATTTACACTACAGAATGTAAAAACTATAAAACAATGCTTTCTGGCTCCTCAATAAAGTAGACTTGGAACAGCTTAGTTGAAGTTAACTATAAATGTTTGTATCTACTAATTCCCTCCTGATAAAAAAAAATCTATAGTAATGATAGTGATAGAAATTAGTGACAAAACCCGTAATTCTGTATTAAGAAATCTGTGACAGTATAATAGTTAATTTTTCTGAGCTTGTAATTAAAATGAGCAACTTAATATGAAATTAATAAAACTATTATTAAAGTTGGGCCAATTATAATTATAAAGAATTTAAAATAAGTTTAGAAATTTTGACGCTATTCGTATTTTGAAAATAAAATATATTCAATAGCTTTCATAAAAATTAATTTTTTTGGCAGTCAATTATTATGTAAAAAATTAATTGAATCTAATTATTTTAGAGATGTGATCCATTATTCACTGAATCTAAATTTATTAATAAAATCCAGTGAATATTTAATAGATTTATTAATAAATTTATATTCAGTGAATAGCGGGTCACATTACTAAATTATTTGAATTATCGTGTTTAATTATGAAAATTAGTAATTAATATAAATTCAAATAAACGTTACTATAATAAAAGATGGATCTATCAAATCTTGATTTTTTATCTATTAAAGATAATTGGTAGCAATTAATATAATCTTTATTTAAATTTTATTGTAAATCTCTTTCTACAATAACAACTAAGTAATACATATAAATCCTTTATATATAATCTTTCATTTCTATCATCATTGCAGTATTGTAACAAATGCTTAACACTTCTATATTACAAAAAAAACTCTCATCATTTATGCTAAAAGAAATCTTTGAAATTTTAACAAATAATATTAAACACTTCATTCTTTCATACAAGTAAATTCCGAATAGTTTTGTGAAGCATCTCCTTTATTGTGGTATGATCCTTTTTCAAATAAAACAAAGACATATCTTGCTATCAGAACTTACATACAAGAAATATCTTATCAAGAAAAACAAATTATCAAAAAAAAATTTAATATTTCAAAATTCGCATCTAAATTATTATTACCATACACATCATTTTTACAATATATTAATATAAATAATTTTATAGATGCTGTGATCAACTTTTGGTAAAATTTCCAGTTCAGTATTGGGTTTTTTTTTAGCTCTTTCCTGAATTTTTTAATTGGAATATGATATTTATTAATAACTGTCAGTTTTTTATATAATTTTTTAATAGGTTATAACTTCACTTAATAATTGTGTGAATGTAAAATTATTTGGAATAATGAAACTTCTCAGTTATTTAAAAAATCATTTTTCTCAAGTTTAATGACTTCATCAAAAATTTCTCTTTCATATACATTTATTTTTTATTATTTATAACAAATGATCTCACAATTTACAAAAGTAAAAGAAATCAAAATAATAAATTTTAACAAAAAACACAAAAACTATTAAAAATAATCTATAAACATATTTTTAACATTTTGTTTGATCTTCGTAACCACTCAGTTTCAATTTTTAAATTTTTATATTTTATTTCCATACTTCTTAAATTATTCACTTCAATTTGTAAATTTTCTTCCCTTATTTTTAATCTATTAATTGTATTTAAATTTCGATTAATTTTTGTTTCCTTTTGATATCTTTCTTGTAAAAGATCTACCGGTATATTTTTACAGTTTCTTCAAGTTCTGTTTTCAAATTCAATACTGTTTTCTCTAGATACTTTATTTGATATGAAATGGATTCACTCTTTTTTTTTCATCTGTAATGAGATATCTAATTATGTAAAAAGGCTATTAGAAAAGATGTTTTCTATATACAATACTTAAAAGGAAAGGAAAAGTAATTTTATTAAATAACGATATTTTGAAGAAAAATAACTGCCGGGTCATACATTTATCCGAAGATAAATGTCGGAGTTCTTCTCTGATCACTAATGGTCTTTTGCCACAACAACAAATGAAAGAGCAAAGAGGGCCAAGAGCAACAGATCAACCTGCATAGAAGATCAGTGCTAAGCTCATGGTCCGAAAAAGTATATGTACTGTGAAAGCAAGTAGTAGTTGTCAGAAAAGTATTTAAGTTATCAAGAAAATTTAGTGAACAACAAAGCGTATTTTAGTGACAAAGCGTTTGTGTTTAAAACTTTTAAAAACATAGTACTTTTATTTTTTTTTCATGAAGTAGGGAGTGTGCAAAAAAATTCAGATTTATCATAAAGTTGAGAATGTTGTTTCATTTAATTTTTCCCACATGTTTCTCATAAATTTTATTTTCCCAACGAGATAATCCAAGAATAAAGTTTTTATTTCGTTTTGCAAGGTTTTTTTCTTTTAATAGAAAAAATACACGATATTTGCACCCTGATAAACATCAATTTTGTGATGTTTCCACGACATTTAGTTTTGCAGTTTAATAAATTATATTCAGGATCAACATTACACAAGTATTTTTGGTAATCTTTTCAAGAAACTCACGCTGCATTATGCTGCAACACGTCAGAAAAGGTCGTTGATATAGCCTTAAAATCCATCAAGATATGAGCGGCAAAAGTTAAGCCAAAGCAGATATTGCATTTAAAATGATTTAAATAGTTAGTATTAATTTTATCATTTATCAATAATCAAATTACTGGTATAAAATTAATTTATTATTTTACTTCTGAGATATCAAGAAGTGGATGTTTTAATAAGTTGCAGAATTGAAAGAAAAGAATTAAACAACTTTAATATTTTCTTATTTTTTTTTTATTACGATTTTTTTGTTTGATATATGCGGGTAAAGGAATGTAAAAAGTTATGCGAGAGAAATTTTTTTAGTAACAAAAAAGGTTATCGTTTATTGTATTGCAAAATTTCAATTTTTCTATATCTGATTATTTTCAGGTTTCCGTAAATTGAGAAAAAATTGATCTCATGGGGTGCCGGACCCACTCGAAAGGAGATTTTACTTATTAAGGCCATTTAATAGAAATCTCATAATAAATCAACCATTTTGTTTTATAATCTTCAAATTTCGAATTTGAAAACTCTTGGGTACAAACATGCATAAAAAACCCCAGTTTACTTTGAGGTCGTATCACAGCTGAGGCAGGATTATTTCGCATCAAATGATAGCTTACAGGAACTCGCCTGCCACAATCAAACCTGATGGGGCTAGAATATGCCATGCAGTGATTCTTAATTATGCATAGGAATTCACCTAGCAAGCCGGAACCCATATGCATAACCGTGCTTCATATCCCGCTCTTGGTTATGAACGTCAAGTTTTTTTGACCATACTGGGAATTTACCTGACAGAGCGGAACCCCCAAGAACAATCCGATAGCAAACTTAACAAAACTCACCATCCCATTGCTTAAAATCGATGAACAAAAAGGTATTCATCGATTTGTTAGATATTCCGTTCTATCTCTAAAAATTGGTACGGAATAACACCAAAAAAAAGAAAAGCCCTTGAACCCAATTCTTTATGAGTTAAAGGTTCTTCAGACCGTCGAGTAAAGAAAATAGTATCGTTAATTTAATCATCGAAAACCCGGTTCCCAGAATCAAGCAACCTCAAAGGCTAGCGTGCAGCAGCAACGAATGGTACCCTGTTCACGTACCAGTGAGCAAAAAAGACTTCACTCAATGATAAAGAAATCAAAAATATCTGTTGCGGCTGAAGCTAGAAATGGCTGAAGCTGGAAATTAGAGGTCTCGATTTAAAACTATAAGCCCTGCTAAAATCCAAC